TCATTAATTCTTGCAGTTTTATTTTATTTATTTATTGGTCTTTTTTTGCAGTGCTGGGGATTGACCCTGGGCACTTGTGAATGTTAAGAAAGTATACTATCACTGAGCTACGTACACTCCCAGCCCTTTTTATTTTTATTGTTTGAGACATGGTCTCATTAAATTGCCCAGACTGGCCTTGCCCTTGTGATCCTCCTGTCTCAGCCTCCTAAGTAAATGGGAGCACCAAATTGAAGATCTTTGCTAGAGTTGCAAAGGAGCTTTTTAATAAAGAGATTAAAAAAAGAGAGTGAGTGATCAAAAGAATCACTGCTTTGGCTCCAGATTCAATTTAATTTTTTATGAAGGGAGCTAAGTTACAGTGCTCTGGGGAGTAACAATGACATTTTAAAAAATCATTTCTTAATGAGCAAGATGTCTAAAACACAAGTTTATATAAAAGCTGTTTCAAGAAAGCAATTTCAGTGGCCATCTGGTTCCTGATTCTACCACCAACTGCATGGAAAAGGATAAGAAAATCATTGTCTTATGCGGCACTGTCACGAACATAAACCTTAAGTAATATTTAGTTCTGCTGAATAAGGCCAGGAAAAAAACTAAAACTTAATAAAAGGTTAAGCTTTACCTGGAAAATTAGTTTGTAATCTCTAAGATGTTGCATAACACAGTATTATATATTCTTACTTATCCATTGAACTTATGTCTTTAAATGCAGATGAACATCTAAAACCAGAGTTCATGTAAATACTAACTTGAACTAAATCTGGTCCATAAGAATCCATCACAATACATAAAAAATTCACAAACAAATCATTATTCTGGTTGTAATTCAGCCCAGGAATTCCCTACCGGATCCGCAACTCCAGGTTTACCTACTACTGTGTGCCCCAAACTTCCCGAAAGCCCTCTCTCTAATCATAGTCTGGGATATTTGATTTGGATTCTACAGAAACACTGAGGCTTTACTAATGGCATCTATTGGTGGCAGAAAACAGATGAGTTCCTTGGAGTGTTACAGATAAAAATAAATAAATAAAAAAAGAAAAAGAAAATGGATTTATTCATATGAGAAAAATGTTAAAAAAATTTAAAAATACATATATTTCTCATCACAAAAACAATACACAGATCAGGCCTGGGATTTAGCTCAGTGACACTGAGGCAGTGCCTGCCTCCCAAGTGCAAGGTCCTGAGTTCAATCCCTGGCACCCTTGCCTCCCCAAAAAACCAAAAACAAACAAACAGACAAACAAACAAAAAAAGATCAATTTCCCAGTTTTTTTTTTTTTTTTTTTTTTTTGGTACCAGGGATCAAACTCAGGTCCTTGTGCTTGCAAGGCAGGCAGCAGAAACACTGAGCTAAATCCCTGGCCCTCCCAGTAAATATTTTAAATATCCCATTTAAAGAGATAGCCAGGTCTTATGAGACTTAACTATGGTAATGGTAATTAAAAAAAGAAGAGAGTCCCTGGTTTAGCGCCACCACGCCCTCCCCTTGCCCCACTTTTTCTACTTCCTTTCCAATTAGTTTGATTATGCAGTGCTCCCCAGTGTGTAAGCTAGAAGACACCACCCAAAGATTTCATACATATTCTATGAAGGAATAGGTCACATTCCATGGTGACCACAGCTAAAAATAATGCACATTCTAAAATTGCTAATAGATTTTGAATGTTCTTACCACCAGAAGTTAGGCAATGAGTATGTTAATTAGCATGACTGAAGAGCTCTAGGTTGGCATCCAGCAAAAGAAGAAGCCCAGTGTGGTGGCCCAGGCCTGTGATCCCAGTGCTCAGGTCACTGAGGCTGAGGCAGGAGGATCACTGTGAGTTCAAGGCCAGCATGGACTATATAATGAGTTCAAGACCAGATTGAACTACATAATGAGACCGTCTCAAAAAAAGAAAAAAAAAAAAAGGAATTTTGTAGAATCTTAAAACCAGAGTATTGAAGATATATTATTAAAATATTTTAAGAAATAAGCTGAACAGATATATTTTTCCTGCCAATCTGTAATTTTTTTGGGCAGGGGTTTGAGACAGGGTCTCACTATGTAGTTGAGACTGACCCGGAACTCACTATGTAGCCCAGGCTGGTCTCAAACTCACAGTGATCTTCCTGCCTCAGCCTTCTGAGTGCTGGGATTACATGTGCCTGGCTGTAATCCCAGCACCCAGGAGGCTGAGGCAGGAGGATTGCCTGCCTGGACTACATAGTGAATTCAAGATCAGCCTGGACTACACAGCAAGACCCTGTCTCAAAAACAAACAGATAAACAAACAAAACCAATACGTGCTTATAATACATGGGATGTTCAGAAAAATTTAAGGAGGGGGAAAAAAGGTATATTTTCATTACTCAGAGACAAGCAGTTTTCACACTTTTGCTGAACTCTTGTCCTACAGGGCAATGTAATCTGAAGAGAAAGTATTCAAAAATTAAGAACCAACATGTTTTCACTATCCCATGTTTAAAAATAAGCACTGTAAAAACTGTACAGTGGGAGCTAAAGTTGTGACCCTGCCACTCCCCAGGGATACTGTTTTGAAATCAACCTCCTTTAGAGGTGGGGATGTAGTGCAGGGGCAGTGTGGTCACCCAGCACGCACGAGGCCCTGGGTTTACTTCCAACACTGCAAAGCAAACTCATTTAGCTTCTGTTTTCTCACTGTAAAATTTGTACATGGTTTTATGATCAGGATTAAAATGTATGAAAATAACATACATTGAGATTAATGAAAATGAGTACAGTATGAGCAGACTAGTGGCAAAATTAACAAAAAGGAAAGAGGGGGCCAAAAAAAAGGGCAAGGCTAGAAAATCTGCGCAAAGACACGCCTTGGACACCTAAAGATGAAGGGGATGTAGCTCTGTGCAGAAGCCCTGGGTTCGATCTTCAGTGCCACAAAACAAAAACAAAGCTCCTCCCCTAAGGCAATACCCAACATGCCCTCTTGGACAAATTCTGCAGGATTCTCACAGTATTTATTTATATAGACAACACCAGTGCTGGTAGAATAATAACGTATCTATGTTTTCTCACCTATTTCCTAAACCAATACTACTGTGGCCTAGAAGTATTGACGTGGTCACAACAGAGCTAACAAACATTCACTGCATTTAATCTTTGTTCCACCATGGCATCTTACTCAGCTACCCACTCTGGTGAGACACATGCTGTTACTGATGAATACATGCATTTGGAAAACTGACACCCATCAGGTACACTGGTTTCATTTTAAAAAGCTATGTTGTCCTAGTTGGACAATTCTGTCCTAATCAGGCAGTATCTCCTTTGTACAAGCTTCACTCCTGCAGTGCCAAATGGTATATATGGTCTGAACATTTCTCTTTCAACAGGACCAGAAACTCACGACAGGCATTAAAATTTGTGGGCATCTGACTGAAACAAATGGAACTGTGAAAACATGTTATATTAGCAAAAGCATAGATAGGACTTTTTTTTTTCCTGGTGCTGGGGATTGAACTCAGGACCTTGCCCTTTCAAGGCAGGTCCAGTGCCATGGAGCTAAATCACCAACCCCAGACATGACTATTTAATTTAACATTTGAAAAATTTTACTTGGTAATGACTTAAATCCCACTTTAAATGAAACCACCAAATACCTGCCCAAAGTACTCTGTTAGTAACGTAAGACATGAATTACACTTCTGAAAGTACCACCCATGGACTCTTAGTCGGATAGAACTAAGAGATGAGGGATCTGGCATTTAGGAAAGCAAAGAAGTATATTCAAGGTCACAAAATGTGTCAGAGTTAAAATTAAAGCCTAGAATTATTCAATCCTAAGGCCTAGGCTCATTCAAAACACATGTGAAATCTGCAAAGGAAATTTTTCTTTAACCTATGATTCAAATGTTTTGATTCCTAAGGCAGAAAGGACAGATAAGTGGACACCATTCATAGTTTTAAAGTCACCAGGTATCACAGACGAATCTGAAGTATATTATAGCTATAGCTCTTTTCAATTTTCAGATATTTCTTATGCTGAGCTGAGAGTACCACGCTAAAATCTCATTATGATTTATTCAAAATAGAAACGAATATTATGAGAGCTCCTGTGAACTCTACTCTCTCCACTGATATTGTTACTCAGGCAAAAAAATTATAAATCAGTCTGTCCCCCAAAAGAATGATCTCTAAATAAAATTAGGTTACTCAGACTTTGCCATCTGAAATCCTCTTGTTCCTCTTGTTGGAAATCCACAGCAGATTCTCCTCCCACAATCCTTAATTTCTTCTTGAGCCAATCACCCTTCCTTTTCATTCATGCACAAATCTCCGCTTTAAGCAAGCCTATGTGGAGCCCTAATACTAAAAGCAACGCCTCAAACGGTGACATCAAGCCAAGAACAAGATCTAACTGCGCTTGCAACTTTTCACAAGGGGACTAGACTGGAAGGGAAATCTACGACGGAAAAACGTCTCTCAGTACATTAAATCTGATCGATTCACAAAAACCCTGCAAATTTCTCAAAGATAAACACTCATGAAAGAGCATCGTTGTGAAGGTTTTTATCAGAGACCGGTCCAACAACTCGGAGAATGTGAAGACCCAAAGCGTAATCTTGAGGGTCAAGACTTAGATTGCAAGTGTCAAATGAAACACTCAACAATACAGTTTACTTAGCTCTAGCTCTTCATTTAGATCTAAACATGCGCTTCGGTGAACTTTTTCGGTGAGATCTGAATAGGGAAGTACAAGTTACCTTTTAAAGAACTACCTAAACAGAGCCGCAAGATGTAAGCATTAATTAAACCTTTATCTCTACAGTCGTGACAAGGTGAGGACATCAAGGGGGCGAAGATGAAAGGTTCGACTAGGTCTCCCTAGTTATCCAAAGATCATCTAACCGTGCTCCAAGAAGGGGTTGTCCAGTTCAAGGACTCGGACACGGTGGCCGGGAGGGCAGCCTGGAGGGTAAGGGCAGGACCCCGGCCGACACGGCCAGGCAGCGGCCTCCCTTCCCCCACTCACCTCCCGGAGCGCGGCTGCACAGAGGCCGCGGGATAAACTGCCGCCATCATCACCGCCATCACCCCGGGCGCCCGAGGAAGTGGAGAAAGGAGGCCCAGCCGCTCCCGCACCGCGTGCAGGTCCTAGAAGGCGGATGCCCTTCTGCCAACCCGCGCCTTCCCCTCCCCTCGACGCAAGGTTCCAGTCTCCGACTTCGCAATCACCGCCCCCGCCTGCTCCCCAGGCGCCACCACCACTTCCGCGTTCCCCTCCTTACTTTCCTCCCTCATTCTCCCAGCAACCCGCTCTTCTCCCCGCGGCCGGCGCGACGTGACGTCACCACCCCGCGACACGGGTCGGCGCCT